TCTCTCACACACACACACACACACACACACACACACACACGAGGATGTGCAGTCTAACAGCTCACACGCGTGACCTCCCATAATCCAAGTGTTTTCTAAAACGAGCTGGTTGTTGTGAAGCCCTCAGGCAAGAATTTCAGCTCCATCCACTTCAACAGAGAACGACTGAATCTCAAAGACAGCCTGTCAAGATCGCATGTGTCAGCAACAGATCTCATTTTCTAACTATTTCATAAAAAGCTGTGTTAGTGATTTATTTTTTATATAATCATGGTAAAATCAGTGTAATGCATGGCTGTTTAGCTAATAAAAAGGGTAAAAAAAACAAAACAATAAATATTAAAAAATATATATTTAATATAATTATGAAAATTGCATTCATCATCATCATTATTTAAACTAATTTTAACATGAATAATTATTATAAAATAAAGCAAAATAGTTTAAAGTTGATGGAGTTTGTGTCAGTAATTCACCCAGTGCTATTCATTTGTGATTTTACTACACATCTGCTTAAAACTGCACCTGTACGATCATATTAAAATGTTAGTAATGCATAACTCTTCAGCACATAAACATATATATAAAAATAACAACTGCAATCATTTTGCCATAGGGTTAAGGATTATCAAAACACCCAAACGTATTAAAATTCAGCCTGTAACTTCATTACAGTGCAACCATAAATGATATGCTACCTCAAAACTTGCTGCTGCTGGTTGGATGGACAGTTAAGGCACACTTAAAATTCTGAATGTCTGTGTAATTTGTACCAGAACAGTGGCATTTATTTTAAAGGAATATAGCACAAGAAAACGTGTTTGCAAATATGTTGTATTTAATACAATGACTTTTGTATGTCTTTATTTGTGCAAATACATTTTTCGTACATTTAAGTAAGCATTATAGCAACTGCAAAATAATAATAATAATACTTTTTTATAATAGAAGTATAAATATATATATACGTATACTTCTATATAAAATTGCCTCTGGTCAACATGTAACCAGCCACTCTAGTAACTACATTTTTAGTACAACATATATATAAAAATAACAACTGCAATATATATATATATATACACACACACATAGTATTTAGAATATTATAAAGATAATATAAAAATAAACAAATATTAATAATACTTAATATTTTATATATAGAATAGAATAGAATAGAATAGAATAGCATAGCATAGAACAGTTTAACATGGCACACTGCAGAATGTCACTTTCAAGTTACATTAAAGCAAAAAATGGTTTCATAATCGGTCAACAAACGCAAAAATTTGCTCCATCACTGAAATGACTTTCTTTTCTATCTGACTTTCTTTCTAGGCCATACAAGCTATTGGTTATAATGTACAGCTCCATCTAGAAAACAACTGAAATCTCCAAAACTTGCTTCAGTAACAGAACTTAATTTGACACTATTATATAAACCCAGTGCTGATTTTACAGCACTGTACTCTTCTTTTACAGTTTTACTCTGCTGGAATATATATATATTTTTGGTTGCACTCAGAAACACACACACATGACACTGACATGTAGAGATCATCATATGAGCGTGATCAAACACACACACACACACAGATGGACTGCCAGGATGATTGAGCTGTTTGGACTCTTTCTAGCCGCATTTGGAGCATCACGCCGGCCCGATCCTGTTTGCTAAACTCCTCTGATTATTGTTTATCTGGCCACTGGACGCTAAACAAATGAACACGCCCATGGCAGCGGCCTTCAGCGACCCCTCCCATCTATACTTTATGCCTCCAGCCATATAATTCAACAGAGAGGCTCAGCTAATCCGATCAGAAACATGACGTATCGTTCTCGCGTCTCTCTGGATGAGTGTGTAAGAGGAGACGTCGTTCAGCTGTCATTCGTGTGTGTATGCATGTGTGTGTGTCTGCGTGTGTGTGTGTGTGTGTGTGTCTGTGTGTGTGTGTGTGTGTGCGTATGCGTGCGTGTGTGTGTCGGAGCCCAACGGGCCCCAGAGGTGGTTTTTGGGCACAGGTTATGATTGGTCTGCGTGGCCAGTGGCTCCAGCTCGAGTCGTAAAGCTGCAGTAATCCTCTATGCTAATGTGCTGCTCTGCTCTCCTCCATCCAGCTTCTTCTACATACTAATTGCTTGTTGCTTCATCTGCACACATTTAAAATCACACGTGTGCTTGACTCCCTCACAAAAAAAAAAAAGATGACAATTTTTTTTTTATTTCTAAACATGCAAAATGCAAATATTTTGCATGTATGAATATGGTTTATTTTAATCAGTAAGATTTAAATTACATGAAATGGAAAAGTGTAATATACTTTTTTCATATACAGTATGCATTCACATACATTATAAACAAATTATACAAATATAAAAATCAATAAATTGTTATTATCATAAATTCTAATTTAAAAAAAATTGCATTTAATATTTTTATGCCCTTCAATATTTCAAGTTAAAAGGTCATGCAGAGTGACACATTTTTTTTCTCCATTCTGTCACCGATGGAGTTTTGGTTCCTTTCAGAAACACGTCACATTATGGAAGTGAAATGAGTTGCAGACTCCATCTCATGTTGATGTTCTGTTGTAAATCCTGAAGTGAAACAACCCAGCAGTTATTGTAGTGCACACGTTACACGCTGTAGAAATGAAGACAAACAGGCCTGTATTCTCTCTCCAGTTATTTAGCCGCTTATTAGGATTAGGAATCTAGAGCTGGCACTGAAATGACATTTCTAATGCACTGAATAGAGCTCACATTTCACACACAATGTTATATTTGCATTAAAACTACATTATATTGGAAGCTACAATGCAGAACGGTTTTACTGGAAACGCGGCGTTCATCTGCGACCGAATTATTCCCGAGGCCGTCATTTAACTCCTCACAAACTCATTTCAGACGCTCACGAACGACACATCAAAGTCTGGCCTGGAAACGATGGCACGAGGAGCGACGTGAAGCGGTTTGATTATACTGTAAAGCTGCTTTGACACAATCTGTATTGTTAAAAGCGCTATATAAATAAAGGTGACTTGAATTGACTAATTGAAAGATCAGACAGTCTCTAAATTAGTAAAAATATAAATATAATAAATATATAATATATAATAATAATATAAACATATCTAAATAGTTATATTGGAAGCTACAATGCAGAACGGTTTTACTGGAAACGCGGCGTTCATCTGCGACCAAATTATTCCCGAGGCCGTCATTTAACTCCTCACAAACTCATTTCAGACGCTCACGAACGACACATCAAAGTCTGGCCTGTTGATGTTCTGTTGTAAATCCTGAAGTGAAACAACCCAGCAGTTATTGTAGTGCACACGTTACACGCTGTAGAAATGAAGACAAACAGGCCTGTATTCTCTCTCCAGTTATTTAGCCGCTTATTAGGATTAGGAATCTAGAGCTGGCACTGAAATGACATTTCTAATGCACTGAATAGAGCTCACATTTCACACACAATGTTATATTTGCATTAAAACTACATTATATTGGAAGCTACAATGCAGAACGGTTTTACTGGAAACGCGGCGTTCATCTGCGACCGAATTATTCCCGAGGCCGTCATTTAACTCCTCACAAACTCATTTCAGACGCTCACGAATGACACATCAAAGTCTGGCCTGGAAACGATGGCACGAGGAGCGACGTGAAGCGGTTTGATTGAGGCAGAGGCCCGTGGGAACGGCTGCTCAGTGACCGCAGTGCGATTGACCCTGTTTATGAGCCACTATCAGCTTCAATAATTAAAACCTGTGTGATGCTGGAGCTTCAGCCCAGAGAAATACGCACGCATTATGTACTGTACTGTACTGTTTTAAATCATTGAATTGTTTTGAATACGGCAAATAATAAACAATAATGTTATAATATTTGATCATATATATTTACGATACAAAAAAAATCAAAGTCAAAATGTTTAAAGTTTTAATGTAAAAAAAAAACTAGAATTGATGCCCAATTTCACTTATTAGAAAATCATTTAAATTCTTGAAGGAATTCTAGATTAAATAATACATTAAGTCAAATTTATATAAATTTAAAATATAAACTAAAATAAAATTGTCTAAAAATAAAAATGTAAAAAATAATTTTAAATGTTTATTAAATTTAACATAATTGTATAATTTATACAATAAATTATATTATATTTATAAAATAAATGATTAGAAATAATATACAATTCTAAATTGCTATTAAAAATAATAAAACAAAGGTAAATTAATATAAAATATTAAAAACTATTATAGTTTTAAAAATAAACTAAAACTTACACAATATTCATATAAAATAATGTAAAATTTATTGTTATTTTTTATAATTCTACAAATAT